AATGGCTGGTCTTCCTCTACCTTCCATTCAAACTGTGACGGCAAAGGTCCAACTGTCACAATAATCCGTGCTGGAAAATATATTTTTGGAGGATACACAAGTGTGTCATGGAGTAAGTGACATGATCAATTTCATCATATCACAGGCCACCCAAGCTCAAGCTGTAAGTCAGCCATGATCATATTTCACAATAGCAGTCACGGAGAAATATGGGAAAAGAGTTTTAAAAAGAATTTTAAAAAAGGAATATTTACAACATAGTTTGGGGTAGTTAAGTGCTAGAAAATTCTTAACCAAATGCCTTATCTTACTTCCATGGTGTATTACTTGCTGTGTTTACGCGCCTCTTCTCTGATTCGTGACGGTTTAGGCAGATATCGGGATGGGAGAACTTTATAGGAAGGGGTACAATGGCTTCGAATCATTAAGCAGGGAAACAAAAAAAGGTTAATACCAAAGAAAGGCAAATAAGTTAATGATACTAAGAATTTTCTGGATAACTTATCGTGATAAACAGGCCGATAGAAACACTTGCGTTTTTAAACGCCTTGATGTTCCTGGCTAACTGACAGCTTTACAGCTCGATATTAATTTTATGAAATTTATAAAACGGGACATGGAAGTTACGTTCTGTCTGGAATGGGGGGAGCTGTTTCCAGTCTCCCACCGGGCTTGCTTATCCCAGAATTGAAGTTATTAAAAACTTAGGAGACATTTAACATAAAGGAACCGAAGAACTTAAGATTAACACTACAAGAAATAATGCCGAGCTACAAATAATAGTAAAATTTTGCGGGCCAATCAAATTAACGTTGTCGGTAATACGTCATTACTAAACTGTCCAAAGTGTCAGTAAACATCATTAATGTTGGACTCCTTTTTCCATTGATTATTTCAAATTAGGTGGTTGTTCATATCACTACGATTCCGCAGCCTTTCTCTTCTCATTGGTTAACAAGCCTGGTTGGCAGCCACTAAAGCTAGATCAAACAGGAAAGTATAGTTATCTTAGAAGATATTCCATCTACAGCTGCTCTCACTATGGACCAACATTTGGAGGAGGACACGATATTCACATTGCCAACAACGCTGCATCAAACACTAACTCATACTCAAACGTTGGACACGACTACAGCCCGCCAGCTGGTTACAGCTATGGATCCTCCTTCTCACGATCATTCCTGGCGGGTAGTTACCCCTTCCGACCTGACGAAGTCGAAGTCTTCTGTGAAACTACCTGAAGAAATCGCGGAGCTTGCAGTCTTAGTTTTACACACCCTGTACAGAACAACTAAACTTTTGCAATTATACAAGTATATATAGAAACTGTTGGTAAATTATAGAAGCGCAATATAATCAGAAAATTTCAATAT